TCATCATCACCTCCTCACAGAACCCATCCCCAGCCCCACCCCTCTCCTGAGCTCAAGTCCTGGCACTCTGGGTCTATGTGGGACCTTCTGTTGCCTCAAGATCTGTTGCAGCTTAGCCCACCCCAACTTTACAGCAAGCTCACGTCTGCACTGAGGGAAGGATGACAGAAGTTCTCAACAGATGGGTGGCTTTTCCCTTCGTAGATCAGTTTCTTACTCTCTTATGGTCCAGATTTTGACTGCAGAGCCCCAAACATATTTCAAAACAGTCCCAGCTTCTGCTGACACCCTGGAAGTCCTTCTTCTCTTTGTACTTATAGACTTGCGATTCGCTTTGACATATATGTAGAAGGATATATCTATATTTATTCTATTGGCACTGAGAGTATTTTAATCTGAGCAGTGAATGTCTTTAATCCTGGAAAACCTTCAGGCATGATCTCTTCCAAGATTCCTGTGGCCTCTCTCCCACCTGGGGCCCGTGCCCCTGTGTGCCATGGCCTCTCTGTGCACCTAGGTGTGGAAACAACTTGGACAGGGCACTCCTGCATGACGGCCTTGAGACAATGGCCCACATCATGAGGTGCCCAGGGACACCTCATGACTGATCCTGTGATCAGGGTGCGAGATGGTCTGGGAATAGCTTGAAAATTATACCGCGCACCTGCATGGGAAATTCTCCCTGTATACATGGCAGACATGTCTCCCCTGCTCCCCACAAAATGGAATACCCTTTGATCCCTTTGAAGCCCTGTTCCCCATAAGAGGAATATCCTTTGCTTCCCTGGATGCTGCTTCTCCTGCCACTGTCGCATATCCAATCATGGGCCTGTACTGGTGACTGTGGGCTCCCAACCAGCGGTGACACTGGGAATCAGGCAGTTTCCCTCTCTGACCTGCCCTCCCATCATTATAGGGGAGCAGCCTCATATGAACCATGACTCTTGGGGTGTGCACAGCTTTCTCCACTCTTTTACCAGTTGAATCCTGACCTCAGCCCTCATTGAGACAGCCTGGCTCCAGCCTATCTCCATAGGTTGGGACTTTGTTAGTCAAAGAAATCAAACCCTCAGTGCTTCTGCTTTGAGGAAGCCACCTCAAAACCCAGACCTAGGAACATACCCCCCAGCAAACGCAAGGCATGATTTTGCCCTGGTTCTACAACTACAGCCATAGAAATGTTTACCTTGCTTTAGTCCATCCACCTTCTCCTCCTCCTCCTCTCAGCCATATGCCTTTACCATGTGAGCAAGCATGATATCAGCTGCATCTTGGCCAGAAGTCAAATGTCACATTCTCTCTAATTTTTATCTTATCTCCAAACCAATCTCTTGTAAGGCTTCTCCTGAAAGAGTCACTCTTACCAGAACTTGACTGTCTCTACCTCCCCTGGACTGCTACACTGCTGTGCTTTCGTTTAGCTTTTACAAACAAGGGTTTCCTAGAGACCAACAGTGGACACCTTCTGTTTGATTGCACAGTATAAACAGGAGCCAGAAAAAGTCACTTCCTCAAGGGACCAAGAAATAGTCATGAAACTGAACGAGCAATCAGATTGTTGTTATACAGAATAAAGTTCCCAGTCCAGAGAAGCCCGAGGCCTAAGTGACTCCACAAAGGAAGAGGTCTATACTGCCTGGGAGAGGGATGGGGAAAGAGGTTGAGCCCCAGAGGGGTGAAATGCTAGAGCTAGGTCTTGAAGAAGAGGAGTTTGCTAAACAGAGAACAGAGAAGAGGAACAGGGCCCCTTTGAAAAATAGAAACCAAGCCTAAGAGGAGCAAAAGTAGGCAGGAGGGGAGGAGAAAGGGCCGTTGGACCAAGTGTCAAGGCACCATTCCAGTTCACATGAAGCTGGATGCTGGCAGAAGGGGATTTTGACTGGAAGAGACTAAGAACATGAGTCTCCAGTGAAAAACAGCGAAGTAGAAATGGGGAATGGGGCGCAGTAGGAGACCACTGTAATTGCCAAGGTAAGCGATGACACCAGCTACTTCTAGGCCTGATTCCAGGTTGTCCCTTTGTGAGCATCTTAGAAGCTGGGGCACAGAATCCTTGTTGGCTTCTTACCGCTGCTTTGTCTGTTATGTGCTCTGAATTAAAGGTATTTATTTCCATGTTTTAAGAACCAAGGCCTTGAGGTAAACAGCCTTGTTTAATCTAGCATAAAAACTAGTTACTCTTCTTACCCTTTCTCTCTGTTTGATGGTGTGCAACTGTTTCCATTTCTTCATGCTATGTGAGGACCACATTGTGGCGTGTGGGATCTTACCTGGCAGTGATGGACAGGTGCCACCCAGCCTTCTGTACACCTGGCCCCAAAGCATGCAAGCATCCCCAGAATTTGTGCAATTGCTTCTGCTCTCCTGCCTGCCTTACTACAGGGCGGATGTCTTTGTGGTTACATTGAGAATCACCACCTTTTGAGAAAAATATCACTGGGGTCACAGAGCCTCCTTGGTGGGTTTGACATCCCCCCTTGGCATCCCCCCTCTCTTCTCTGTCATGCTATGTGCAAAAGAACTGCCACCCCCATGGCTGACACTCTTCTTAGCTGCAAGACTGGCAGACCTCCATGCCAGCTGCAGCTCGCTTCCAGGAGACTAAGTGGGGACTATTCTATTTTCAAACATTGCATCCCAGAATCTGACCCTCATCCTACTCAGGGGTCTGATCCCCAAGATCCAGATGTCTGCAAATTGGCTGGGGTTCTACTCCAATGGGGTTGTACTCCACCAACAAGATATATTTCCCTAACTAATCCTCTCCATCACATCCCCTGCCTGTACTTCAGAGCCAGCAAGGTCATTGACCACCCTGCAGTGGGAGCAGAGACAAAGCAGAATAGGGTACTGCTCTCGGGAATGATGATTGTCACAGCGGGGGCCTGGCTGGACCTGGCTACTTCTTGTCACTCTCAATCATGTGAATTGAGAGATAGTCAGCTGTCTACACAGGCAGGCACACATGCACACGCAAACACATGCCTGCACACATCTGTATGCCAGAGAATGCCCTCCTGCGTACGTTGATCATAATCGTCTTTTCAAAGAGATTTCCCTCCCCAATCTCCCTCACCTCCCATTTGAAAATGCACATGTCCCATGTATAGTCCTCAACAGTACAGACACCACATGTATGTCAGTCTTGCTAGTAATTACAAAAATTGAGAAACTGCTTGAATGTCTATTAATAGGAAAACTAAAATATGGAACACACATGTAAAATGCACCCATCTACAAGAGCCACGAGTGCTGACATGAAAAGCTGTCCTTCTGGTAGATAAGAAAAGTGATTTACAAAACGATATACATAGTATAACTGCATGTGTCTGCGACACGTATAAACCCTTGCGCACAGCTCCCTCGGAAGGGCACGCAAGTGTGACAGTGGTTAGCTCTAAAGAATGGGTAACGAGGCAGGCAGCTTTCCCTATATTCTCTATTATTCTCATAGTATCTAAAGTTTTTTGAGAAAGTGTTACTCATTTAAAATAAAATATATTTTAAGAACCACTTCTAAAAATAAAATGCTAAATATTCCATCTTAGAACAAGTACTTCGAGAGTGCTTGAAGGTGGGAGGGCATTAAATTCAAAGTAGTAATAATAAAAATTCCATCCAACACTTAAGTTCAAGCCTCATGGTCAGGGTGCAACTCCTCAAACACAGCTCAGCTGGTGTGATGTGATGGTGAAGTGGCAGGTGGTATGGGGCGCAATCCTCACCTAGGAGACTCCAGGTGGGACAGGCACCTGGAACAGATAATACCATGTGACTCTAGAATCAAGCAGCAACATGATACACCCACAACGATTCAAAGATGCACCCACTGGGATGTTTTCAGGACAGCAATAGGCATAAAGGAAAGGGATGTGTGTACCAGAGTCACAGAGGAAAAACTGTCTCTACTCAGTGTCTACACAGGTTCTTCTATGGCAGCCAGAGCCGTGAATACAGAGAAATGAGTTCCCACAGCACCAGAGTGGGCCTCTGGGTTAACAGAATGGCACCCAGGCAAAGGGAATGCTAGGCAGAAGGAACCCGGAGTTTAGATAGCCTCAAGCCTTGCATGGATGCAGGCTGGAGCACAGACAGGAGCAGCAGCACAGGGTGGACAGAGCCTGGGAGAAGCCAACACACAAAGCCTCTGAGCCACGCTAGAGCCAAGCTTCCCGTCTGGTCCTGCTGGCCTAAGGGGCACGCAGGAGTGACAGCTCAGAATAAGGACCAGAGCAGGAGAGCCGAAGACTGGGTCATAAGGGAGACGTGTGGATGTTGTTGCAAGGTCCCCCCAAAATAATGAGGCCATGTGGTCAGGTTTAGCCACTAGGAGCAAGCCCGGAAACATGCAGTCAGCAGAGGTTAGCCTGTCCCATGCCTGGGTTGGGTCTCTGTGGCCCCACTGAAGTGTTCTCAGTTACCTCTGAAGATTCTTCTTGGGTGAACGCCCCACACTGTCCTGGGTCCCAAGAAGTGGGCAAGTCACCTACTCTTCCTTCTCAGCCCTCACGCCCATTTTGCAGGTGAAAAGCAAGGTGACGATGCTGGACGCGGTCTGAGTGAAGGCAAAGAAGGTAGACATTTCCCTTCTCCTTTTCCTTTTCCTTCCCACTATCACCCTCGCTTCTTGAAATCTCGGATCTCTCTTTACCCTCTGTCTCTGTCACTCCTGGGAGACTTTTCCAGGGGTCATTTCCAAGTCTGTTTCCTTCCTCAAACCCACACTTCTCAGTTGCCCCCACAGCCCTGCAAAGCTGCTGGGCCACCACTCATGGCCCCCAATCCCCTCCACTCTAGAATGGAAGGTGAAAACCGCAGAAAGTAGGGCGAGTGTTTGATGTGACATCACATCCTCAAAAAATCGCTGAGAGACCTCACACCGATCTCTGCGATCTCTGCGATCTCTGCGCCCAGGCCGCCAAGGGCCCAACTTCCCCGTTCCTGGTCCCGCCGACTCCTGAGCCCAGAGCGCCTCCGCTGGCTTCGGAGCTGCAGCTGAAATGCCCCCTGCCCTTCTCCCCCGGGAGTGCGCCCTGGCCTCCCCGGTGACCACCCTGCTCCTGCCGCTGGCCCTGCTGCTCCGTGAGTTAGCCCTTCTCTGGGAAGGTAGAGGGGGTGCTTAGGGGGTCGCGGCCCTCCCGGCTCGGTCTCACTGCCTGGCCCTCCTCAGACGCAGCTAGAGTATACTCTGATACCAACGCGTTTCGAATAAGGGAACGGAAACTGCCCCGGCAGCTGAATGAGAGCATGGAGCTGAGCTGCGAAGTGCTGCTGCCCACCCAGAGCGGATGTTCTTGGCTATTCCAGAGGCGGGAAGGCCCTCCCCTCTTCCTAGTCTACTTATCCAGCTCCCGGAACAAGGTGGCTGACAGTTTGACTTCCAAGATAAAGGGCAAGAAAGAAGCCCCCTCCCAATACTCCCTCACCCTGAACCACTTCCAGGAGCATGACCAGGGCTACTACTTCTGCACGGTCACGCACAACTGGGCCATACACTTCAGCAGCGTCGTGTCAGTTTTCCTGCCAGGTGCGGGCACCCCGGGCACGCGGTGTGGTATCTCTGGGTGTGAGATTTGGGGCTCACCTCAAACGTGTTCCCACGGGCACTCGCGGCTTTCCAGTCTCAGCGCCCCCTCTCCCGGGATACTTGGATAACTGTTAGCCTTTCCCAGGCTTGTGTGGCCCTGGGCAAATTACTTAAATTCCCCAAGCCTCGTTGTTCACTCATCAGTAAAATGTGGACACCAACCCAAGCTCACAAGCTTGCTGGTTGAGCCCGGGAGAAGGGCTGGATGGAGGAGAGATGGCTTCTGCTTTGGGGGTGGGGGAGGCGCGGATGCGCTCTGCGGAGCCCAGGACGCTCGCAGCTGGCTCTGGCGCCCGCCTCTAAAAGGCCAGGCGGTGCCGGCTCCATCGCCCCTGCCCGCACGCAGAGTTCGCACCCGCAATGGAAAACTCAGGAGCCGCGGCTCCCGCAAAGGCGCGCGCATCGCCGGGTCCAGTCCCCAACCACGCTTGGATGTTGCTCCCGCAGCTAAGACCACCACGGCGCCGCCGCCTCCGCAGCCCACCAACGCGTCTCAACGCGTGACTCTGAGCCCAGCGGAGTGCCGGCCGTCTGCGGGGAGCGATGGTGAGGCACGCGGCGTCCGGATCCGGGAGGCCTGGGCGGTGGAGACCTGGGGAGAGCCCCTGCGGGGGGCGGGGGCACCTCTAATATGGAGATTGAGCGGAGGGCTCTCCTAGGGTGGGGAACCTAAGTCCCGAGCCTGGAGACCTGATGGGGCTGGCGGGAGAGGGTGAGGGGATCACCCTTCAGCTGCTAAATGGTGGTGTCTGGGGTGTCATCAGTGATTACAAAGAGACTGGACTTCTCCTGTAATATCTACGTCTGGGCGCCCCTGGCTGGGACCTGCTCACTCCTCCTCCTGTCACTGATCACCGTTCTCATCTACAACCACAGTAAGTCCTAGGGAATCGGGGTGCCATCTGCCCCGCGACTGTCCTTTGAGCTGCTGGCTCCTGACAGCAGCATTGGGGAGGTGGGGTTGAAATTTCTGGGACTCTGAGCTGTAGGGCAGGTCCAGGCACAGCACATTTCTATCCAAGAGCTAGAAGTGGAGAAGTCCTCCTTGGCCTCTTTCCACTCTCTAGGAGGTTGTTAAGAGGACAGCGCCCTATGTCAGGAGCTGCAGCTGAGGAAGCAAGCACACAGGTCCCGTGTTACCACAGAGGGGGCCATCCTGAGCCTGGGAACATTGCCACAGGGTGAAGGGTTGGGAACCACCAAGGGTGAGAGTCATTCTTGGCTCCTTCTGGGAGACCCTGCTTGGGGTATTATGCAGGAGGCTGTACTCACCCCTCATCCACGCATGTCTGTACTTGCAATGTTTCTTAAATTGATGAGAATGGAAAAGAAGCCTTCAGCTGGGTCCTCAAGAGCTATAATCCTAAAGAAATAGGGAAGGGTGGGAAATCCTATGCTGGGACTATAGGGGGGTTGGAGACAGTCAATTTACCCCCTCCCCCTTTTTTTTCCTTATTCAGGGAATCGAAAACGTGTTTGCAAATGTCCCAGGTGAGCCTCTTATAACCCCTGGGCACAGTTCCTGGCTTCCCCAGGAACAAATGTTGGGGACCTTCCCCAGAGAGAGAAAATGGCAG